CCTTGGGGCCAAGCTGGCGGAGCGGATGTGGCTCGGAGAATCAAGAATCCGAAAAGGGTTGGGAAAAGTTGGGGCGCAACGGCTGGGGCAGGCGGTACCTGGTACGGTGTGAGCTGGGGAAGGCGTGCATAGTGCGAAAGGCTGGGGCGTGGAGGACCGCAGGGGCGAGGTGTTGCGGAGGGCCGGGGGGCGGAGTGGAACCAGCGAGGCGGGGGTGCTGTCAAACTCAAAACCAGCGATCAAAGCCACACTGCGGAACACAACTTCTGGGCACCGCCCCCGCAGGGGTCGGCGATAAGTTATAAGTATCATAACCCCAACTAGGATCCCTCTTAAGGGGCCATCGTGAGGTAGGCGACGCAGAACTTCGCGTGAGGCCTCGTCATGCTGAAGCTTGAGAGATATCGCGAAGCAGTGGAGGCTTCAAGTCGATCCCCCAGCCCCTTCAGTCGCTTCCGTCGCTTCATGCCTGAGGCCTTCGAGGACACGCAGGCCAGCACCCGCCTTTCTCTTCAGCACTAGGGCACTAGGCAAGCACACTGCCGCATCTCAGTCTGCACCCAAGGGGCACACAGCTGAAGATGATACCCTTGGCATCCATTGCATTGCCAGTGCTGACTTCAATCTTTGCTGCAGGAGGTCTGCCCCACTAGCAGGTCTGCAACTTCAAACAAGGCCTTTGCCGAGGCCCTGCAGGTGGGGTGCCTGGCTGCCGGCTGGGCAGGGGCAAAAGGCTGCAGGCGGGGGCTCCGTCACTGAAGGTCACGCTTGCTGCGCAGGAGAAATCGCTTCGGCTCGGGGTGTGACGGGCCTGGAGCCGAAAGGCGTCTCACCTTCGCAAGTCCGCGGGGGAGGCGATCCCTGTTGGAGCTTGGACTGAGCCTTGCGTTTGGTTTTTCGGTATGCCTTCTCTTCCAACTGGCATGACCGACAAATCCATCATGCCATCCTGTACATAGCACCAGAGCTCCTTGCATAATTTGTAAGGTTCGGCAGCTAGGGCGGGCGCGGGTGGTTCGTCCACTAGTCCCACCGAGGATGTGCTGCCCCTGTTGTCGTTCACGTTGGAACATGTTCAATCAAGGACTTCGGAAGAGCTGGGAACAAGGCCGAACGTGCATAACTAGTGGCCTGGGAAGGGCAAGACTTGCATGCAGAAGTACGTGCAATACTAGCTCTCAGGCACTTTGCAGTAGGGGATTTTCTTCATCGCTTGAGTGATCTTAAGGATTATTACCTTCGCCTCCGCGGGAGACTCGAGGCGGCAGCAGGCCTCTCGACTCCATCAACTGAATGGGGTCGCCGTTGCCTGCTGATTCTAAAGTGTCCGCCTCGTTCTCGTTCTCATTCTGGCATTCTCTATCTTGCATCGAACTTGGAGGAGCTAGCCTGCGCTGAAGCAGTGTATGACCTAAGGGTGTGTTCTCAGGAGGCCAGCCCGCGGGCACGCATGTCGACGTTCACTTCCAGGGCGTTTGGGCGAAGCACTTCTCGGCCCTCCAACCGAATGCGCGCTTCTCAGTCGCTTTTGGCAGCTCGCTGCCCTTCAAAGCGGGGTCCAGAATGAAAGGAGTACTCCTGTTACCTTGGCGCTGTCCTGTTCATGACAGCGCAGGTTGCTTGCGAGAATCTGTTGCAGTGCTGTGCACTTGTAGGTCGTGCACAGGCTTCGAGCTGCTGCAACAATATTCTCAAGTAGCTTGTTTGCTGAATGTCGCTGCCATGCAACTTGAGGATTATTTCTTTGTGGAGAACTCCTTTCAAGCTCCGGCGGCAGACGGAGGGGGAACCATATGGATGGTGACCACAGGTAGTGTGTGGACCCTGGACAGTCCGTTCGCTCTGCGAATCACAAACGTGTGGACAATTTCTACAGTCATAAGCATTTGCGTGCATGTGTCTGACTACCATGGTCGAAGATGTTGTCGTGCAATATGTACATACCACAGCGTACATTGGTTCTGTGCCCACGCTACCAGTAGGTGAGTTTTCGACATCTCTAATCAAGTCTGCCTCCAGGTTCGTTCCTGCTGAAAACCCTTATCTCGAATTCTCTGTGCAATCAGTAAAGGTAAGCAGCTGCTCTGGATGAACCAGAGCAGAGCTGATTGCCATGGCTTACCGAATCGCACACACTTCCGCAGCTGGCGTCGCGACTTGGAGTCTCTGTCGCCTCATGAATCCTCGTCGCCGAGAGCCGTGTTTTTGTGAGCCTGTGGCCAGCACGCCGACATTTCAGAAGCGCCCGCTGCGAGTCATGTCTCAGAATGTTTGGAATTCCTTCTTCGCAGGTGGTCCCGAGAGAAAGGCAAGGCTAGTGGCACTCGGAGAAGAGTTGGAGCGACTCTGCGTGGACGTCGTCATCGTGCAGGAGATGTTCGTTTTCGGTTTTGGACCCTTTTGCGTACAGGGCGATGCAGAGGACGCCCGTCAGCTGTTGTTGCAGCTAGGCTTCGTGCATCAAACCTCTCCGACAGCGACGCGGCCATTTCTTGGACAAAGTTCTGGCCTTGTCGTATACTCGAAATATCCAATCAAGAAGGAGCAGCATGAGACGTTCGCATCTCGTCGCTCTGTCACAGCTAAAGGTTGGCTGGAAGTGGTGATCGATTTAGGATCACCCGACGGCAGCGAGGTGCAGCAGTTGTTGCTGTTTTTCATGCCTTTGGCCTAAACCCTAAACCCTAAACCCTAAACCCTAAACCCTAAATGGTTTTTGCAGCTTTCAGCTCTCACCCCATCTCCGCAAACCCGCAATGCCCAAATCCAATTCTCCAAACCCCTTATTGTGTCCCTATTGTGCCCCCGTACCAACATAGTATCCTTACAGCACAGTTACAATTCCATTCTAGTACCCTTAGAGTACCCGAAAAGTACCCTTATAGTGCCCTGATAGTTAAACCCTAAACCCTAAACCCTAAACCCTTATAGCAGGCTCGAGAGCTGCTCATCTTCAACACTCACCTGGAACATTCGCACCATCCTCGCTGGGTGCGTGTCCGGCAAGACCAGTGCAGACAGCTCATGCGGCGCACCAGAGAGGTGCCACCCAGCCGCATTGCAACTCCTGGCAACAGGGGTGTTTACGGGAAGTAAGTCTGCAACAAGTGTTCTCATGACTTCGGGTGTAGATTTTGGATGCTCTGTCGTCCTCTTCATCATTGCGATTCTTGCTAGTGTCCCTACTCTTCGAGTCAATCGCCTCCTGCCACTCTGCATTGCTTGGAGCCACCAGCCATAGTTGTGGAGATTCTGCGTGCCACTTCTCGTGCTGTTGGCAATCTCCGACGTCTTTAAACAACAGCTTCAGAGACCAGACACAATAAGCAACCCGAGTCGCCAAAACGAGTACCAAGGTCGACCAAGCCACGAAACCCCCCGAAGATCTGCAAGGAAAAGTGTTACTGACCGAGCAACCCCCACTTGTCGGGCAGTTGCTGGGTTTGTTTGACGTTGAAATTGGCCAAGGCTTGCAGAAGAAAGCGCGAGCAGCACTGCCTATGCCATGGTGGTAGGCGACTTTAACGTCTGCAGCAACGAGTTCGGACAGCAGCTGGACGGCTTGGCAGAGTTCCGAGCCTTGCATTTTGCTATGCAGTCTGCCGGCTTCCCTGCCGAGTTGCCGCAGTCGTTCGATGCGGAGCGACCAGGAACGCTTCGGCTACCTCCAGAGAGTGGACTTCGATGTACTCCAGATCACATGTTTGTCACCTACAAGCTGAAGGACTGCTGTGTTAGTTCTTCGGTCGCGGACACGCGAGACCGGAATGGACTGGAGGTCTCCGACCATCTGGCTCTGATTGCCGAGTTCCTGATACCACTATGATCCCTTGCTCTGCGGCGGAGGAGGACGGCACCTGTTCCAGACGTGCCCAAAGCAATCTTCTGATGCTGCACAAGCTCAAGGGCCCTACTGTACAAAAGCCGCGACCAAAGCCGTCCATGCGAGTGCCCTCAGAGAGGTATGATTGAAAAAAATGGATCAGAAGGTATTCAGTATTCAACTTGCATCGGCGCATTGCACGGGATACAAGTAGCTGTCACATGTCATGTGCAAATCGGGTTCGCGATGCTTTCATTGTGTCCAGTGCACGGGGAGGTGTTTCTCATAACCCACACTGTTCAGAAAATTTATGGAGCTAGTGTCTTTTGTTTTCTTCGCATCTCACTCGCTTCACTTGTCATGTTTAGCTGCACGTGTACACATCCTCCCCTAGCCGCCGAGACAGCCTGTGTCGTAAGACCCCTCTGTGTCGTAAGGCAAGCCTAAGCCCCACGAATGTAGAAAACGATTGTTGCCATTGCCTTGCTCCCCAGCCGGCATGTCAATTCCTGATCCTGGCAGTGCCTATGCGCTGAGGCGACGGTGAGCGTAGCTCGAGCAGCAGAACAAAGTGGCTTCTTCACTGAGACTGAAGCCAACCTTCAGCGTTCTGACTGGGACTCTCCCGATTCCGATTGGCGCCGGGCTCAGGATGTCAGTCAGAATTGATAGTTCTATATGCACAAATAAAATCCAGTAAAGACTATCGTAGAACTTCTCGCGGCTCATACATGTTGGCAGATCGTCGGACAGTGTTGGGGTTTCTCGAGACTCGACCATGTTTGGTGCTCATAGCTCGATCTCTTTTTCCTAGCTGGGGATTTCCAAAAATAGGGGATCCTAATATAACACCCTAAATAATAGGATCCTTATTATAAGGACCCCCAAGCAAGGTACCCCTAATTTTCGGAAACTCCCAACTGTCTTAGGTTTCGCTTGCCAACGTCCACGAGGCCTTCTCAAGGCCAGCACGACTACTGGCTCGCCTCTCAGAGTTAGCTCACCACCTGAAGTTCACAAAGGGGGCACATGGGAGTTTCCGAAAGTTAGGGGTACCTTCTTTGGGGGTCCTTATATGAAGGATCCTATTATTTAGGGTACTATATTAGGGTCCGCTATTTTCGGAAACCCCACATTGACTCAGCCTGTGGCTGAGGAGAATTTCGTCTCTTCAGCCGAGACGCGAGACCAACGTAGATGTCTCAGACAGTTGAGCACGGCTGGTCTGGTGCCGGCCCCTAAACTGCGGGTGTTGTCGCTGTCGAGTACATGGCTCCGTGTGGAAGGAAGCCCTTTTGGCCACAGTGGGCAGCAGAGCATGCAACGGTCTGAAACGGAGTGGGTGGGCGTGTGTGTGTGCTGAACCCTACTGTGCGTTCAAAAGCAAAAGCCATTGGATCCGAAGCAGCATCAGACAAACAGTGAGTTTATTGTCAATCCCAGTAGGTTATCGATGGTTGAATGGAGGATGGGATAATTGCCAAGCGGCAGTTTTGGATTAACACGTGGACGTAGCCATGCGCGCTGGCGAAAGATCTGCTCAGGGACTTCCCCACCGGGACACCAAAAGCAGCCCCTGACATGTCCGGAAGATTAAACCCAGACCAGAGTTCCCGAATGCAGCTTACCGGCATGTGGCGGCAAGCAGTGGCCTGCTGTTCTGCAGTTCGTGAGCTCACATAGATTGGTGAATCTGACCCTCGGTCGAGAGTTTTGGAGGCGCAGACAGCAAGGTGAACATCGTTGCTGCCCAAACCTAATCCCTCTTCGAAATCGGCAAGTGCGATGTGGCCAATCGTAAAGTTTTCTCTCTGTCTCTCTCACTCTCTCTTTTCCTCTGCCAAGTTGTCTTCAAGTTGTCATCGTGCTCATTCCGTGCATGTCAATGCTCGAACATGGGCACCCCCGCTTAGGTTCTCGTCAGTGTACAACAGTACCGTCACTGGGTGCTTGAGCCCTTGCTGTCTGAGAAGTCGGACAAAGTGCTCCGGTCCCCCGCTTGAAAAATCCTTTCCAGGTTCTGTCATATCATCAGGATCGATTTATGTTTGGGTAGTGGATATGAACAAGTTAGTGGCTCGTCGGCAACAGGAGGGGGCCATACGGCTCCAGTCCCTTCATGTTCCTGAAATGGTGGGGTGTGAAGTTGGGTGTGCTTTACACTCGAAGACCAGGAGTGCAAACGATAGCCCACGTCACATCTCTTGGGACTTGAGAACGTAGGCGAGTGTGGGATCATCGAGAGGCGGAGACCTCGGGTCGCTTTCCACGACTTTCACGGCCGAGGTCTTTGCGGTGATGTGGGAAAATGCTCGGCCTGGAGTGGCACGCGCAGTCCATCCGGACAGCTTTGAGCATTTAGTATCTAGTTGGAAGACAGCTTGCTGACAGGTACTGAACACCCACGGGTCGGGTTCTCGAAGCACGCTGCTGTTGGATGTCTTCTAGAGTATTGAAGCAATGGTTGAGATGCTGAGCGAAGATTCGTCGTTCAGGATTTGCGCTTTGTAGCTCTGGGGTTTCGCGCTGTGGGACATGGTGTTGTCGCTTCAGGATTCTTGGGTGGGGGTCATCTTCGGACAGTGTTGTTGCATGATTAGCGGGTTTGGCCGCTGAAGGTCCGCGGTAGGTGCACGTCTGCTTTGTAGTCTGGGATCAAGAGCCGCCAGACATACTTGCGAGCCTGCACTGGGTGATGCGGTTTTGGTACTACACTTCGAGCCCCGCTTCCTGTGTGTCGCTCTAAACACAAAGCCGGCAAGGATGCTCGTGGTCGCATCTGCACACGCTCGTTGCTTTTCTCCCGGTAGTCCCGCCCGGCCAACCACGCAACCTCCTCCTGCCGCTTCCGACCCAGCACTGCGCACCCCGACTGCCCACCTCTCTACAGCTGTTTGGGCACGCGCTGATTTCAGTCGTGCAGATTTCCACCAAGTGTATGACATTTCAATTTTTCAAGACCTCACCTGGCATGCATGCGTTGCGCTGCATGTGTTACGTATCATGGCTTCCGCTGGTCTGTTCGACTGCATGTCATCTGCAGCTGATCGTAAAGACAAACGTGTCTTGCCTGCAGTGGTACGTCGAGCTATTGCCGAAACCTCCTGCTGGTTGACAAGTCAATGATCAACCATCCGTGCCGGATGCTCAGGAGGCGCCTATCGAATACATTCCCTCTGCTGCCGGTTCAGTGATGCCCTTGCATTGCTTGAGCGCTTCCGTCGCCGCCAAGGCAGTGCGTGGACGACTGACCCTCTGCTCCCGGAGTGCTCTCTACAGGTCCCTTCACCAATTCGCATGGTGGTGCGACACGGGCCAGAAGCCCATGGTCAGGTGAAACTGTCAATCGGCCCCGGTCGTTTACGATCGCTGCACGCTCCTCAGCGCCTCGTTGGTTGTGGGCATTCCGAGCCAGAGACCTTCGAAAAGCATCAGTCGGGTTTTTCAGTCATGTCATCGGGATCTGTGTGACCTTCGGACTGTGTGCTCCGTGCTCGCTCGCTCGCTCGCTGGGTCGCCTCTCTCTCTCTCTCTGATCGCCTGGGCTAGAGGCCTTACCTTTGCATGGGCGCTGTGGTGTCCTGTGCTTATCCGGCGATGCAGTGCAGTCATGTGTAGGATGCACACCCTGCATGTCAGAACTCCATCAGCTGTGCAGACCATCTGCCGGATGATCGCTGCGACTTGCTGCCTTGCTGGGCTTCGGGGCACAGGTACATGCCAGCCTTTTTTCCGCGCTGCTGCTTCTGCCCAGTTCCCGCACTTTAATTTCAGGTTTACATGTCTTGATCCCTGGCCATCAGGCTTGAATTTCTTGCGCCCGAGGGGAATAAAGCCAGATTCTGACAGCCTTAACTGTCCGCATCAGAGCCGTGGGCATAGTTCGCAGTAGTTTTTGAAGCAGTAGGAAAACTCAAGCTCCCCACCTTCACGTTTGACAAAGACACTGTCGTCTCGCAGCCACTTCTTAACCGATTCTGACTGCAACCGATGGTGCAAAGCTGCCGAATTTCGAATGAGGCGTGCGCACCGAGTCGAGACGATGCGAAAGTCTCCAAAGTACCTTAACCTGTGGTACAGGACCGGATTGCATGCAGAAGCTTTTGTGCTCTCTCTGCTGGAGTGCAGCACCGCCCCGCATGCAGTGCTGACACTCGTCCTGAGAGAGCGAGAGGAGATACAGTTCCGTTGCCGTTTTCGACGATCTCGCTGATCAGCAGGCCTCTTCACCTAAGCTTAGTGGCCGGTGCCATCGGTGTTTCTGGGTGTTTCGAGAGAATGCTCGCTCCTGCTTTCCTTCTCAGGCCGTTCCACCCGCAGCTCTCTGCACACTGCGGGCAGTGGACCAGGACACTTTAGCAGATCATCTCGCTTATGGGACCACCCTAAACCCTAAACCCCTAAACCGGTCTGCCACGAGGCGCATCTGCCTACTGTCAGCGACAGCGACCGTCTTGTCGTGCGTGAGCTGAGCCAGTGGATTCGGCCCGGAGTCTCAGCTTCCTGCTGCGAGACGGGTAGTTGTCAAAATTATGGTCCCTTTTGGGGTACCCTAAATAATAGGTGCCGTATTATAAAAAGGACCCAAAAAGGGACCATAATTTTGCCAACCACCCAGATGGGCTTCATCTCCATGTGGCCCATATTATGGGCGTTTCCGAAAATTAGGGGTACCTTATTTTAGGGGTCCCTATAATAGGGATCCTACTATTTAGGGTACTATATTGGGGTCCCCTATTGTCGGAAACCCCCACATCACAGTTAAGGAGACATCTACAACGTGAAACCCTATCAGCCTATCTGCCGGAAACTCAGAGACGGGAGCGGGCGCCTTGCAGCGCGTCTCATTTGGGAGTTTCCGAAAATTAGGGGGTACCTTATTTTGGGGTCCTTATGGTAGCGATCCTACTATTTCGGGTAGTAGAGTAGGGTCCCTTATTTTCGGAAGCCTCCATTTGAATGGCACAGTGCATCGAACGCAGCTGTGGACTTCGTCAGGGCAC